AAAAAATTAATTTATTTTTCCCCTTAAAAAAAAAAATAAACTAATAATATACAGTGTCAAAATCAAATGTTCGTTTTACGTTAAAAACAAAAAGGAAAGAGAATTTAAAAAGGAAAATGAGAAAAAGAGAAAGAGAGAGAAATGAGGGTAGAAAAAGGGAGAGAGATAGAGAGAGAGAGAAAAAAAATCAAATTTAAAACTTTTTTTCTTTTTTTCTTTTTTTTTTTTTATTAATTTATTTTTTGCCATTGTGGAATAATGCTTATCACTGAAGCAATTTTTTTTTTCTCCTTCCACGTCGTTTTTTTTTTTTTTTTTGAAGAAAACAAAATAAAATACACATTATTAATAATAATAATAATAATAATGAAAAAAATAACGAAATAAAGTAGAAAAAAAAAAAAGAAATTTGCGAATGGAAATGATGTTATCATTAATATTATTATTAACATTATTATTATTATTATTATTATTATTATTATTAATAAGGGAGCTTAAGACGGAATGGAAAGAGGGTTAAGGAGTAGGCGAGGTGAGGAGGGGAGAGGAGGGAAAGGCGGACGAAACGAAAAAGAATAAGATGAATAAAAAAAAAAAATGAAAGTTCAGACACGAGAATATTTTTTTTTTTTTTTTTAATTAAAATGATGACGTGGAAGAAAAAAAAAATGTCTTTAATAAGGCTAATATGTCTCAGGTTTAATTAAAGCTTCAACCGGAAATCGGAACCTTTAAATTGAAACGTTTTTATTGCCTTTTTCAATGTAATAATTTCCCTTGAAATAAAATAAAAACCTTTTTTTTTTACTTACTTACTCAGTTTTTTTTTCATTTCACCTACTTTTATTCCGCTTTTTTCTTATTTCCTCCTCGTTCCTCCCTTTATCCTCCCCTCTCCCTCTCTCTCTCTCTTTCTCCCTCCTACTTCATTTAATTTTTAATAATTTTTTTTTATCAAAATTAAAAAAAAAACTCACTTTTTACCTCTTTCGCTTTTCGTCTACTACCTCAAATTTTCTTATTTTCATTTCGCGCGAAAATTCAAACTTATTATTATTATTATTTTCATCCCTTATAAAATTCAGGGTGTTAAACTTTACAAACAAAAAAAAAAAAATAAGGAAAAATTATGTAAAAGTGTTTGCACGAGATAAGATAAAAAATAAATCTTTTACCTTTTTCGATGGTATCTTCCTTCATACGATTTCTTCACTCGAAACTCGTTAAAAATTCTGCAAAAAAAACAAAACAATAATAATAATTATTATTATTAATTAATTAATCAGTCGTGGAAGTAGAAAAAAAAAAAAGAAAAGTGAGAATACTTAAAAAAAAAATTAGTTTTAAATAACGATTTGAAAAAAAAAATCGTATCGGATTTTTTTTTGGCAAATGTATTATAATATTATTCTTATCCTCCCACGTTTCGTTTTTCTTTTGTATTTTATTATTTTTCTAAAACCACGTCGTAATTTTATCCGGTTTTTTTTTTTAAAATTATTTTGTTTACATGTTTATGTATTCAAATATTTTCAGATTACACACATACCCCCCCCCCCCCCCCCCCCCCCAGAAACTTAAATGTTTGTCGTAACGATCGTAAATTAAATACAAAACCGTTTTAATTTGACATTTAATTTATTTATTTATTTATTTTTTTTGTTTTTTTTTTTTTTCCAGGCGGTAACGCCCCCCATTCAAATAACACGCGCATGTAAATACGCGGCAATATTTCAAAAAGGAAAAGCTGGAGAAAAAAAAAAACTGGAACGTAAAAAAAAAAAAAAAAAAAAAATTTTTATTTAATTAAATGTTGTGAGATTTCAGATTTGAGATTTGCTTTCCTTTTTCATTAACAAATATTATTATTATTATTATTCGAGAGGTTATTTGATTTCGAAACCTTTGAAATTTTTTTTTTCATATATAAATAAATTCCTTTGAATAATAATAATAATAAAATTCATGTAAATATTATTTTTTGTTTTAACAAAATCGAATGAAAAAAATTTTTTCCAGCATTTTTTTCCAGCAGCAGCAGTAGAAAAAAAAAAAAAAGAAACCCGGAAAAAGTACGAAATGGAGAATAACAAAAAAAAAAAGAAAAAAAAAAAGAATCATCCTAAACAAACAAAATCGTAATCGAAAAGCCGGCGGGACTCAAAGGAAAAAACATAAGTTTAACAGACCAAAAAATAATAATAATAATGATAATAATAATAATAATAATAATAATAATAATGATAATAATAATAATAATAATAATAATAATACGATCTCGAATTTTTTATTTTTATTTTTTTTTGTTCCACTGGTTTTTTTTTTTTTTTTTTATACTACCCCAAAAAAAATCAAAGAAAGAATGAAAACTGATTAAAAAAAAAAAAAGAAAAAGGATGAAAAATGGATGAAAGCCAAAGGAAACAAAAAAAAAAAAAAAAAGTTTCCAAATTTAAATTTTATCCGATGAGATTTTTAATTACACGATCGAAATTCAAAAAAAAAAAAAACAAATTTCCATTTTCAAAAAAAAATTTTAAGAAAAAAAAAAGGTAAGTTTCTAGTAAAATCCTTTTTCCTTTTTTCCTTTTTTTCCTTTTTTTTTTTTAAGAACCTTTCGTTAAGCTCAATCGAGTTTTACGTGAGGGTGATGGTCATGTCCATAAAATATTAAAAGGAAGAAAACCTTTTCACTCCAATCGTTCAAAAAAAATAAAAAAGGAAAAAAAAGGAAAAGAAGGAAAAAAAAAGAAAAAAAAGAAATGAAAGAAAGAACGAAAAAAGCAGATGAAAATTTTTTTTTTCTCTTAAGATTATCAAAAAATTTTCAAAAAATCAAATCTATTACCATCTTTTTTTTGGAAAAGTGAACTTTCCCGTTAGTTAAAAAATACTTGGGGGGCTGTGACGGGGAAAGAGAAAGAGGAAGAACAAAGAGGTGGGGGAAAATCACGTGACCGGAAAAAGTACTCGGAAAAAATTTTTTTTTTTTTCTCTTATTCTTCTTCTTTCCACGTTTTTTCAATCAATCATTCTTATAATTACGCACAATCAGTTGAAAATCATTTTTTAATCTTTTTTTTTTTTCAATGTTGCAAACCTTTGAAAAAAAAAAAATTTCTAATCGATCGAAATTTAAATAAAAATAAATAAATTTAAATAGAATTTTTCAAATTTTTCTCATTGAAAAAAAAAAAATTTTAATTTTCCTTTTATTTCATTCCATTTTTATGACGTAATTAAACGTTAACATCGTCCAAAGACCGTAGACAAAAGAAAAAAAAAGTGTACAGATGTTTAGAATTTTAAGGGTTAAAATGACACAATAAGCCTTTCGTTAATGTTTTCTAAAAAAAAAAAAAAAAAAAAAGTTTCATTTAAATATAAATAAATAAAACGTCAAAAAAAAAAAAAACTTTTTAAAAAAAGTTGTTGGCAACAACAAATTAAAAAATAAAACGATTGAACGATACAAATAGAACAACAACAACAAAAACTTATTTAACTTATGTTAACTAAAAACTTAACCTTAAAATATTCCAAACAATCGTAACAAACAACAACAACGACAACCACTTAAATTTTAATTAGTTTTTTTTTTTCTCCAGTATCACAACCGGACAAACAATTTAAAAAAAAACATTTAATGACTTATTTACATTTTAAACAATAATTTTTATCGATCCAGTCACACTAACAAAACATTCTTAAATGGTAGCAAAAAAACTCACACGCACGCACTCACGCACGCATTTTACGATATTTAAAAAAAAAAAACCTAAAAAAAATTTCAGAGGTGCGAAAAAAAAGGCAAACTAATAATAATAAATTTTATTTTATGTTTCATTACAAATAATAATAATAATAAAACTCAACAGGAATTTTTGTTTGTTACACCGAGCAAATGTTTTGCTAAAAAACATAATTTATATTCTTATTATTATAAATTGCGACCATTTGTATAAACAAAAATATTCATTCTTTCACCTAAAAAAAAAAAAATTTTTATTTTACGAATTTCCTAAAGTAATGCGATGTTGCCAATTTTTCAAAAAAATTTGCGTTTAATTTAAATGTTTATTTACGTCATTGTAGGTTCACGCACAAGATAGGAAAAGAGGGAAATTTGCTTCTATCACACGGTTTAAATTTAAGAAGGAGAAGAAGAAAAAAAAAAAAGTTTTAATGGAAAAAAGGGATTCGAATGTTGTAGAAAGAGGGAGGGAATGGGAGGAAAGGGGAAAGGGGAGGGGAAAAGAGGGAAAACAAAAGGTTTACTCGATCGTAAAAGCCTAACTTAAATTCAAAATAAATCAATCATCGATTTTGTTTTTTTTTTTTTTTTGTAAATTATTTTTTTAACGCGTTCACCCTTTTTTAATAAAATTTAAGGGTAGGATTTGTTTCAAAAAAAAGAGAATCGAAACCGAATGAATGAATGAAAGAATGAATGAGTGAATGAATCTTTTACGGAATTAAAATTTTCTTTTTTTTTTTTTTTAAAGGGGGAGGAAGGGAGGGTTTTTTTAAAAAAAAAAAAAAACCAAAAGGCCATTAAATGCATGTGGAAGCCTCTTCTCATTATGCTAATGATTTTTGAAATATAAGCAACAGCCTGACGCCCTTTTGTCTTGTAAAAAAAAATTTTTTTTATTTTATATTTTTTTTTTTTACGAGTTATCATCATCCCCTAATCATCCCCCTTATAATCGACATCATTATCATTATCATTATCATTATCGTCATCACTTTTTATAAAAACAAAAAATTTTTTTAATCGATTTCCTTCTTTTTTTTTTTCTACCGGTCCTAAGTGCGAAACTACTTTTCCAACCGCGTTTTTTTTTCCTATTATCAAAAAGACAAACGCGACTTTGCGTGTTTGTTACAATAAAATCAAACAATAAAATACAAACAATCAAAGCGTTTGTTTTCGTTAAGCGAAACAAACAAATCGGTCATCGTGACTCGAAGTAGGGGGGAAAAAGAAAAAAATTTCATTATTTTTTTGGCCATTTTATGTATGATTCTTTTAAAACGTCACGGGTTGTTTCATCGAATAACAAACAACAAACGGCAAACTTTCTAATAAAAACAAATAAATATTAGAAAAACAATAATAAATTCATTTCTACGTCTAATTAATTTTACCTTAAATTTAAAAACTTTTTGAAGCAATTAAATTTTTTTTTTTTTCCTATTTATTATTGTTATTCTTTTTTTACCTCTTTTCCCTTTTATCGCCTTTTCCCTCCCTCCTCCTCTCGCCTTTCTCCATCCTTTCGTTAACCTTTTTCCTTATCTACCTTGATGATAATTTAAATTTCACGTTAAATAAAATTACATTTTGATTCCGCAGAATGTTTTACTTAATTTTATGCTCGAAAAGAAAAGAAAAGAAAATTCCAAAATGTTTAAAACCACCGCACAAATGAATTTTCACCCAGTGTGACAGTTAGAGTGTTTATTTTCTTTATGTTATACTTGGTGTACATTTCCATAGGGTAAAAAAATAAAAACAATAAAAAATCACTCTCCGTTTAAAATTTATTTTACTTTTTTTCCAAATTTAAAAAAAAAATATAATTACATCATCCACTTTTCACAAATAAATTTAAAACTTTTTTATTTGGTCAATTTTAAAAACTTTTAGTGACGTAAGAGGATGATGAAATGGGGGAGAGGGAGGTAGAGAAAATAGGGTGTTAAATGCAGTAGAAAGAAAACAAAAAAAAGAAAAAGGTGACGTAAAATTTTCACTCCCTTTTAAATAATATTTATAAATTTTAATTGATGATTTATCCCTACTAAAAACTGGAGAATTTCTGGAGAAAAACGAAAATAATTTTCCTTACGTAAAATTATCAATTTAAAAATAATAATAATAATAATAATTTTTATCGTATTAAAACCTGGATAAACCGCTTTTTTTTTATTAAATTTTTCTTCTTTAATAAAATCTCATTAATGATGATTCCAGGAATTTTTTCTCCAGTTCGAATCGAATCGAAACAGTTAAATAAATAAAATTTATTTTTATTTAATGTTTTTTGTGTTGTAACGATTTTAATGGTTTTTCGCATTCGTGAATTTTCTCACGTGTTTTCCAAACCTTTTTTTTTTAAAAAAAATTTCATTCTTCTTAATATTTCGAACGAACGAGAACGCGAAAAACCGCGAACGTTTCGGTATTAAACGAATAAGTTTAAAATAAAAAATTACGAATCGGCAAAAACAGCAACAACAACAACAACAACAAACGACGACGATGATGATGATGAATTTTTCGATAAATTATTAAAAATGACGAAATCGTTTTATTATTCATCGACCACGTGTGAAATTGTTTTTTCCCACAGAAATAAAATACCGATACGGATCGTAAAACATGTTTTTTATAAAAACCCAAAAGAAACATGAATCTAACAAGCAAAAATTGAAATTAAATATATATATTTTGTTTCAAGTGTAAAAAATATCGATTTTTTTTTAAAAGAATATCGTACCGGCGAAAATTTTTTTTTTTTTTTTTAACCGCAACTCTTTGTTTTTGGTTTAAACGTCACGATTTTGTGGGTTTTCCCTGTTTCCGTAAATCAAAAACTTTTTCCTTTTTATTTTATAGAAATTGTATCTATGTAAATTAAACAACAACGAAAAAAGACGAAATGATTTCTCTCCGTGACCAAACAACAAAGTTTACAACAACTTTTCTCCGATTTTTATTTACGATAATTAAAAATTGTTTTTTATTTCTATCACCAGAAGGTTCGAGAACAAAATTATTAAAAAAAAAAAATTTTCTTTCTTATTGATTCGTTTTAAACGAACGACGCCACGTGAAAATCAAGATAAAAATTCATTTACTCGAAGTTTAAATTGTTAATAAAAACAAAATGGCGGAGATCGCGTAATTTCACGGACGCCATCTGAATGAAAAAAATATAAACAAAAAAAAAGGTTAATAAAAAATGGGTTTTACGTAACAACAAACAATAGTTTTAAAAATTAAAATTTGAAAATTCAAGAAAAATCCTAAGTACGAGTTAAAATTTAACAGCAGAAGAAAAAAGAAAAAGAAAACTTAAGACGATTCTCTTCGTTTTTTTTTCCTTTTTTTCACACGGTTATTAAATTGGCATAATCGCGACGGAAACACGTAAAAAAATTTATATATATAATGGAAAGAAAATAAAAAAAAAAAAAGAAAATGGAAAATTAAAAAAAAAAGATTCAAAGCGAGAAGAAAAAAAAAAGAAAAAAAAACGAAAATGTGCTCGGAGCACATTTTTTTCCTTTTTTTTTTTTCTACCCCTGTATGTGTAAGTACACATACATACGTATGGGAAAAGAAAAAAGGAAAAAAAAAAAGGTAATAAATTGTACGCGATTCGAACCTCAAAGGTTTTTATAAAAGGTTTCTTTTATCGAAAAATCTTTCCTTTTTTTCCTTTTTTTTCTTCTTTTTTGATTCTGTTAACCGCATGCCTTTTTTTTAAGCGTTTTTATTCAACATTTTTTTTCTTTTTTTAAAAAATCTTAAAAAAATCCTATTACTACGAATGATAGAAAGTGACAAAGGTACGTTTCCGTTACGAGAGGTTACAAGACGATCGAAAGAGTTCAAACGCGTTCAGAAATATCACTTTTTTTTGTCAAAACGGAAATAATAATTTTTTTTTTTTGTCATAACGGAAATAATAATTTTTTTTTTTTTGTCATAACGGAAATAATAATTTTTTTTTTTTGTAAAAGTTATAATCGATTCGATCATTCTTCGTCAAAGGAAAATTTTGTCAACAGGTCACGTGAAAAACGCTGTTTATCGCGCACCGACCGAATCGACCGACAAAATAAGCAGAAAACCAAAAATTGAAAAAAAAAATCAACAATTAATAATAATAATAATAATTTTTTGCTACTACGTTAAAAAAAAAATTTTTTTTTTTCCTCGTTCCGAGAACGACAATTTCGTTCTGTTTTTTTCTTTTTCTCTCTCTCTCTTTTTTTTTATTACTTTATTTTCATCTCTCTTTCTCTCTCTTTCTCATTCTCTTTTTCAGTTAAATAATAATAATAATAATAATAATAATAATAATAATAATAATAATAATAAAAAATAAAACAAATAAACAAAAGCCGGAAAAGCTTATTCAAGCTTAAGAAAATTTCATCCCAGGATTTTTGCCCTCAAACAATGGCTTTTTTTTTATTTTTTTTATTTTACCAATTACAAATTTTTTTTTTTTTCTTTTTTACTTTTTCGCTTATATAAATCGGAGAGTTTTGTGTTTGTTTTTATTTGTTTGTTTGTTTGAAATATAAAGGATATCAACAAACAAGGAAAAAAAAAAAATTAAAATTATTTCATTAATTAATTTTTTTTTTTAACAGTATGTATTATTATTTAAAAAAGAGTAGGTCGTTACAAATGCGAACTGTATTCGAATATATTTATTTAACATTACGACAAACGATAAAATTGATTTTACCGAATTTCATTACGCATAACAACATTTTATTCATTTGATCGGTTTTCAACTATTTCCGGTTTCAATTTTTTTTTCTTTAAGTGTAAAATTTAAATGTCACGTGACACGGAATTCAAATAACTCTTTTATTAAATTATGTTTTTCGTTCGAACTTAATCGCAACAAATCGTAACAATTCTGTTTGTATCGATTCCTAGAATAAAACAATAAAACGAAAGCAAAAAATCTTTGACGGTTGTTTATGTCGTGGAAAAAGAATAAAGTAAAACATTTCGTTAAATCGATAATACAAAAAAAGAAACAAACGGTTGTAGTTCTGGCTTGAACGCACTTAAACGCCAGTACTACCGTAGGACAAAGGCAAACGATTTTCTACGAGTTTCCGGTTACGGAAATAGGACAAAAACAAAAAAAATATGTTTGTTATCAATGAAAAGGGTCATCGAACGATAATAATAAAAATAATAAATTTTTACTTTGTTTGTCGGACTTTGATTACGTTTTTGTTAAAAAAAATTTTTTTTTAACTTTTCACGCATGTGCCCCGTTTTGGGGTAACGGGGAAGGACCCCCCGTCCTCCACCCCCTCCCCGGGGTGAAGTGGAAAATTATCAAAATCACGACGAGTTTTTCCAGTTTTTATTATTACTATTATAAAGGCGGGGAGGTAGATTTATTAACGAGGGAGAGAAAGTCATGAACAAAAATAATTTTATTACCTTTTTATAAAAATTTCCCTTGTAAATGGCGCCGCCATTTTTTTTTTTTAAACGTTTGATTACGAGGGTTTATTATTACGATAGTAAGATTATTGTTTTTGTGGTGGAGTTTTGAATTTCCGGTTTTAATTAATTTTTTTTTGGTAATCACTTCCGTTGTAAGACAACAAATTTTTTTTTTTTTATTTCGCATTTGTTGAATCTTTTATTTCTCTTTTCTTCTCTTCCTTTTCTCTCCCTTCCTTCCCCTTCCCCCCAAAAAAAAAATTTACAATACGAATATTTTAAAAAAAATTTTTTTAGTATAAAAAAAAAAAAATGTACGTATAAATAAAAAGAAGAAAGTTTTTTTTTTTTTCTCCGGAAGTTTGAAAATGTGACGTGGAAAAAGAAAAATAAAAAAAAGAAGAGAGAGAGAGAAAGATAGAGATAGAAAAAAAAGTTTTTATTTATTTATTTTTCTTTTTTTTTTCTTTTTTAGCATTTATTTTTATTCCTGATAAAATCATGAATAAAATTGTCATGTCTCGTTTCACGCCATATTAAATGTTGCTTCCACGTCTTTGCTCACCTTTCATTCCTCGCCTTTTTTCTTTTTTTCTTCTTCTTCCTCTTCTTTTTTTCGCGTTATAAACAAAATTTTCTTCTTTTCATAAGATGGCGTTTTTATTTCTTTTTTTCTTTTCACTTCGTACCTGCTTATTTTCGAAACGAGTTTTTCTTTTCTATTTCCACGACGAATATTTTTTTCTTTTACGCTACGAAAATTTTTCTGTTTCATTTGACTAATAAATGCCAAAATTTTTTTTCCAAAACTTTTCTTAATCATTCATTCATTTTGTCATTTATCCTTCCCACTTACCTCCTCAAGTATAAATGACGTATGATTATTATTATTATTATTATTATTTTGGTTTTCATAGAATAAAAAAAAAAACTTAAAGGTACTATAGGTATGAGTGATTTCATATATATATAATCTTTGAGGTTTGGTTAAAAATACGCGAGAGTTTCAAATTATAATTAGGGCTGGCTCACGAAGTTGTTGTTAGAAAGAGAGAGAGAGAGAGGGAGGGAGGGAGGGAGGGAGAAAGAAAGAAGTTTCTAGAACTTAACTTAATTAGTTTTATAATGAAAAAGAGGCAACATTTGAATAATCAAGTCTAGTCGGCGGTCGGGAGTCAATTTTGCTCGTGGTCACAAGAAAATTAGAAAGGTAAAAAGATGATGAAGAGTTAACGGTAGACACAAAAAAAATAATGTTAAAGTTTTAGAAAAATGATA